AGTTATTGTCTGGAAACTAGAAAATGCTTATTTTTGGCCCCTAATTCCTTAACTGTTGGTACAATAACCCCCAAAATCAATCCCAACCTTCCTTTTGTGGTATTTAACCTTATGGTCAAATTTCAAAAAGATCCATTCACTTAAACTAAAGTTAGAGTGCGAAAACCAGTGTGTATTCGGACGACGACGCCGGACGACGACGACGCCGCCGGACGACGACGACGACGCCAACGTCATACCAATATACGACCACAAAATTTTTTTGCGGTCGTATAAAAACAGTTACTTAACAAGCTAAACTTTATCAGTACAGTTCATTAAACATGTTAAATGTGAATTAAAAAATAGGGGACAAAAGTTCATATAAACTTGATAAACATTGCCTCCCACTATGTCTACCTTCAAGTTAAAATATCTTCAGGTCTATAGAAACTAAAATTTGGACTATAAATGTTGATGTTGTATATTATCTAGCTGTTAGATTGTTTCTTTGAGTGCACTGTAAGTACAATGCACACATAATATCCGTGCTAAGATTTAACAAGATTTCATGATAAGACAAATTATGGGTGTGTGATTATTTACATAATATAGAAGGAACCAGTCAATTACAGTCTCAATCAGGCAATGTACATGTATATAAATCATCACTTAAGTACCTCTCTTGTGAGTACTTCAGCTCATTAAGATCAAATTTTAATTGTTCTTTTCCCTGAGAATATATTTTTTTTAAGTTATTGTAGCTAGTAAAAACTAAAATAAATAGTGAGAAACATACAATACTTTTATTGATTCGTATGATAATTTATATTTTCTTTTTGATAAATGATTGATTTTGTAAAAGAAATATTTCCCTAATTTTATCTAAAAATCTCCAAAATAATATTTAGCTATCAGTTAATCACATTTATCCACAGCACTTAGATGTACATCAGTATACCTACAAAATATACTATAGTTTACCATTCTTCAGCTTTGTAGCTACATGTATTAATGACGAATTGGATAATAAGGCTAGTAAAATGTACCTAACAGAAATGATATGTTTATCTTTATTCCTTCAATTATGATGAAATAAATTGGAACATAGTGTACTTAATCTATAAATTATAAGTACTCTAGATTTTTTTTCTCAACCTTGTCATTAAGTCACATGAACAAAAGTGTAGACCAGGGGAGAAATGTCCTCTCAACCCACATCATTCATGAAACAATAGCTATAGATAGTTCTTAAAATAATTAAATTTCATAAACTCTTAGAATGAAAACAGGAAATCTGATAATGAATCTGTATTCTGAATCATTCTGTTTATCTAATTATAGATCTGTTACTAATAAAATACATTAGTTTTTTTTATCAGATCTCCACAAGATACTGGTGTATTACAATAAAAACAAATGTTTATGAAAAATAGACATCTGTCTTCTTCATCTGAATTTGATGGAAATGTAATTAACATTTTTTTAACAAATAGCTACAGACATTTATATATAATTATGATTTATATGAATATGCATTTTTTTTTTTATCAATAATGAAATATTCACTGTTACAAAGCTTCATGTTTGATGAAGATTGTACACTGTTATACTATATCACCCTAGTATGTATCATACTACATGTATAAATGCATCTAAAAAATAAACTCAAATGCAAAATTTAACATAAGACAATGAAGCCTAACATATAGGTCATACATTGTAATGACCTATCTTTGAATATACACCCTCTTTTATACTTCCCTTTGGCCATTTTTTCAGATACAAATGCAAATTTTCTTGAGAAGTTTAAAACTGATATAAATTATCAGCCTTACTGTCAATTGATTATCAAACAAATATTTAGCAGTAAATATTTAAGGCCAATTGATGGATTTTCATAAATGTAATCAATGATTCAACAGCCCGGGACGACTGATGAGTCTTCAACGCAGCGAGAAAATCCAGCACTCTGAAACATACAAATGAATCAAAATTAAAAAGCACACAAGACTAACAAAGGCTAGAGGTTCCTGACAATGCAAAAATGCTTTAAGTAGCGGGGTTAAACATGTTTTGTTTCTCAACCCTCCCCCTATACCTCTAGCCAATGTGGAATAAAAAAGTTAAGGGGGCATAATTCCTCAAATTCTAAAACAGATAAAAAAAAAATTTGAAGCAAAGTTGACACACCATGTGATGAAATTTTGGTTTAAATTGAACAAAGAAGTCAAAACAGGCAGGTTGTTGTCTATTTGCAGAGGGTGTAACAATGTGATATATGTACAAATGTAATGCTGCATAATGACAGGAATCAGCTTGATGTAGTGTCATTAGGACACACCTACAGGACACACTGGTTCATGAAATGGAACATCAAGTCTGAAAATCATACATCCAGAATGTGTATACACACCAAAATGACAAACGTAATATAAACTAATAATTTTCATTTCAAAAGGGTAAGCTCAAATAGTAAAAATACTTTTCTCCATTGAGTCCCTCCAACTACACTCACAAAATTTCACCCTTAAGTACACAGATCCCAATAAATATAAATAAAAGCTTAAGGGGATGAGGGTAAGCAACTGCAAAAAAAAAACCCCAAAAAATGTCTAGCTATAGAGGGCAACATACAGTCTTCAACAGTAGACAAGTGTTAATAATATCTGTTAAGTTCAAAATCTTCCTGTGTCTATAAAAATAATAAACCAGGAACAAGAAAAGAACAGACCCATGTTGCACTTATTTGATACATTGTATGTCCAAGGGCAATAACTATTTTTTTTAAACTTTTTAAAAATATGAAAATATGATAGAGAAATGTAGGCTTGAAAGCACCAACAATGCAATTTTCAATATAAAAAATTTCCAAGGGGCAGAACTCTTTAAAAAAATATTTGATCAGCACTGTTTTTCAAATTTGTGAGAGGCATTTCTGATATAAACCTTTGATATAAATATCTAGCAAGAATTGTACATGTGATGAGAGCCTCTACAGATTTCTATAGAATTTACATTTATACATGTTATAAGGGACATAATTTCTGATTAAATAATTGATAAGTGCTGATTTTCAAACCATTCCCAGGCATTGCTGATAAATGTATAAACCTTCATTCTAATATGACGTTCTTCAAACACTTTGAGTACACACGTGTGGTAAAATATGAATATATTCATATATCAGCTGATCTGCAACATCATGATTTGTTTGGGTTGTTCACACCATACTTCCACATCATATGCTTTTAACAAATGAGTTACAATGTACCTGAGATCCCCTGAGTTACCCCGAAATCAAATGGTGTAAACGACATCACTGAACGATGACGTTTAAGCATGTCACAAATTCAACTTTCTTCATCTTATACGTCAATATTAATAGTGTGTTCAATTAAAAGAACAGCAAATATTTCCCTTCACCAAGAGCACTTCCAACCAACAGAATTGCTGTCTTTGTCCTATAAGAATATAAGAAATCATGGGGGTTTGAATTTATATTGATGTTACCATTGGTTGGCCCTTTTTGTCGATATTTAACCCCTCTCTATCTCTCTAGGTAAAATCATTATCTCACTGTCAAACACCCCCGTAGTAGTAGTGTAGAAGTCACGAATAGTAATCGATGATTTGCAGCATTAACAACAAAAAGTGAGAAACTGAAATGGTTTTAATGACTTCATATATTGAAAATGCCACAGTAATACACCATGCATCTTTCGATTATGAATGTAAACTGGATGTATTAATTTGATTGTAAACTAGGAAATGAATTCGGAATTATGTTACGAAATTTCTTTAGATTATCAAGTTGCAGTTGATATTCAAGAATTTCAAGTATTTACTTTAAAACTACTAAAGTGATTCATTATGATGGATAATTGTTTTTATTTTGCATGAAATTATGTTCAGTTTTATGATTAAGAGTCTAACCTTGTCCTTGTTTAAAAAGAGGGGTGCTGATTGTATAAGTCAATAAAAGCATGTGTTCGACTTATTAAATTTTTTTCTTCGTAATTGAATTTAAATTTTACTTTTTATCTAAATTTTCATCAGCATTTGCTAAAAAGTAATTAAATAATGCAATTAATCGCCCCTCTAGATCAAGCGTTCTCCTGTCAGGTGCGTCAATCTACATGTACAAGCAATCATTCGATGGATATCCCTCCAGCCTCCAACAGTAATCAGGAGGACCCTTTGGATCATAATACAATAGGGGTAATGCAATTACATGCAATTGATAATAAATGCTAACAAAAATGGCAGCTAGCGAAACGAAAACAAATTTTGACACCACCTTTCAATTATATATAGTGCAGTTATTTAACAATGGCGGGGACCATTTGACGATGGCATTGCACCATTATAAAACAGGTCATGGAGATCACTGACCCAGGATTGATTGGTGTTTACTTTACTCCGCCTCAGCACAAAAAGGCTATATGGCGGAGACAAATGCCCAGGAGAGACGGTCAAGATGGATGTTGGGAAGGGTTAGTACTGACGAGATTGACACCATTTTTGTGTAAAAAAAAGCATTAAAAAGTCATATTGCTCAGTAATATCCCAACCATATCACCAGTGTTGTATACCAGTATTGTAGTCTTTTTTTATTTATTTTTTTTCAATACTGGAACAGTGGTATACTAGTATTGCGATCGCCAAGTATAGGAGATCCCACCTCTAGGCTCAGTGTTACGAATCCAAATAAATAATTGCCATTTTATTTAATCAAACTAGGTGTTAGCACTGTTACTCACCTTCCTAAATTTTGATCAGCGAGTTGTTTCGCTCTCATGAAATTCTTGCGAAGATTCTCTGGCTTAAACATTTTCAAAATACTAATGCCTAGGCATTTAGGGATTAAAAATAACTAATTTATGTAGGGTTCATGATTATAGTCCGTCAATGTTGTGTAGGAAATTGATTCTGCAATATACTTCCGGGAGAAACATTTTGTAAAAACTGTTTGGATTGGTTGATTTTTTTTCTAATAACTTATCAGTGATACTCTCTTATTTATCGTTGGATGTAAACAGAAGATGGCAGACCTCGTGGAAAAAGTTTTGAGAGAGGCAGCAGAGAAGGAATCAAAGTTTAAAACTATTGAAGTTGAAAAAGAGATTGATGTCATTATAGATGAAGGGAATCTCCTTGTGTGTGACACAAACCCTATTGATTTTAAGTTACAAAAGTAAGAAGACCAACATTTCAAAACTAACTGATAAAGGATACACACAAGAAAAATTATTGAAGAATCATTAAATACATGTATTCGCTCATGATGAACAAAACTGTGTAGCTGAAGGGTCGGACGTCTTGATTCCGGGTCCGTTCGCTCTCATTCACGTTCGCACCTCACACATTTGCACCCTTTTAACAGGTCTGGAATAACCACCAATTGGTGGATTATACCTCAATTAACGTATAATCCACGAATTGACATATATTGGTATAGACCAGTTGACGTATAATGCAAGTTTTTTTGTTATTAAATGCTAGTGTGAGATAGGAGCATCATTTTGCAACTTACAACCTATTTTATGACCATTATTGAGTCCTCCGAAAGTTTCAGTTTTGTCAAAGCCTGCTGCATCTCTGGAGAATGCATGTGTACAACAATTCTTTTGTTGAAACATCTGTACTACTACTACTAAATAGAGTTTAATGGCGACTACCCTTGCAGGTATTGTGCCAGATTACCTTATATAAAAACATTTCAAATAAATGTTTTAAAATTTATTATTATTTAGGAATTAACCTGTATTATATATTCATATTATAGTAAATTGTGAGTTTTTTTTTTTTTTTTTTTTTTCCCTTAAATTTAATCTTGATATTTAAATCTGAACTATGGTGTGTATTTTAATTATCTTAATTATCTTGTGGTTAATTTATAGTGAGAAGAAAAATTTATGTGGGCTTATTATTCTGTTATTTGTAACTTAGCCTGCTTTGTTTATAAATATTAAATGATTTGGTAAGTAGGTGTGTTTGTTGTTTTTACATGAAAACTGTAAGTATCAAATACTCTTGGATAGACATATCTGACTTTTCCAAATATGCAAATCCTAGAAGGGGTCTGACATATTCCCGTACATGGTATATACATTAATACAATTATACCGCAGCTCGTACGTCCTTGGTAAATTGTGATTCTCTGTATATTGAATTTGACTAAAGATAGCACCTTCACTTACATTATAAAAGATTCTTAAACTTACGTTCTAGAAGAAAGATATATATAGTATTACCGTGTATGTATAATTAGGATCTATAAGATTAATGTATTGTTTTGACATTTTTGTGTGTAATAAATTGTAAGTGTTCATGTTTTGCAGTTATGTACAGTATAGATACCAGAGAGTGCTATCTTGGTAGTACTTGATTTAGTGTACTACTTAAAAAAAAAAACTTTCGTAAAAGTTTTAGTGTATATTGTCAAATTCAACGGGGTTATGTTTCTAATATTTAGAAATCATAAACTGATAAATGATACCTTCCAGCTCTGTTACAACTATTAAAAGGCCAATATTTAGAAATGAAAAAAACTAAAAAAGGTAAATAATATATATCTACCAAATTATTTGTTTTTGGTGTCGCCCGTTTAGACTGGAGTTGTTTCCCTTGCACTGTAAAGAAATAAATTGTAGGTAAATATTTGCATCTGTACTATTGACCATGATTGACTTTTAATAATGAAAGTCAAGTATTAACAAAGAGCTCCATTCAACTGTGGAGTTGTACTCATAATCACATGACTGCAGACAGTATTGATGTCCATTGACAGGTGATTAGTGGTAAATTTGCCAATCAAGAAATGACAAGATAACAATGGAAGAAACTGCAAATACAATTACTGATTAAATGCAATATGTTATGTCACTATACTAAACTAGGAATGTTTGACATGTTTTCATACAATAATATGGTTTTAAGAAAACAATGCTTCATTTTGGTTGAATAATTTGCTTTGAAAAACAAAGAATTATACGTCAATTGGTCTATACCATTATATGTCAATTGGTGTATTATACGTCAGTTGAGTTATAACCCACCAATTGGTGGTTATTCCTGACCTGTTTTATTGGTTTTGTGTTGAATAATATTTTAATCGTGTTTTACAGGTTGGGAACAAATTATAGTTATCTCATACCATAATTTTTCAAACTCGTACCACTGCTAACTCATACCAGGATAAAGTCGTACCATTGCAACTTGTACCAACTTATTTGCACGGAAATGGTGTTAAATGTTGAATATATATTTAAATTTAACTGAATAACTCATAAGTCTATAAAAAGTATATAATGCATGGCTCATGCAAGCAGGCAACTGGGGTGAAGAAGTCACTTTCCCGTCCGTCACTTCCCTTTGCCCGACCGTCAAAAGTGATAACTAGTCGCCCTGTAGCTGCGGAACCATAGCTCTTAGGTCCTTATGAAATTTTTATACGACCGCAAAAAAATTTTTGTGGTCGTATATTGGTATGACGTTGGCGTCGTCGTCGTCGTCCGGCGTCGTCGTCCGAATACACATTAGTTTTCGCACTCTAACTTTAGTTTAAGTGAATGGATCTCAATGAAATTTTACCATAAGGTTCAATACCACAAAAGGAAGGTGGGGATTGATTTTGGGGGTTATGGTACTAACAGTTAAGGAATTAGGGGCCAAAAGGGGCCAAAAATAAGCATTTTTGTAACTTCCAGACATAACTTGTGTGTAAGTGTATGGATCTCTCTGACATTGTAACACAAGGTTCCATATCACAAAGGGAATGCTGGGATTGATTTTGGGGGTAATTGCCTCCAAATTTTAGGAATTAGGGGCCAAAAAGGGGCAAAAAACAAGCATTTTTCTAGTTTCATGACAATAACTTGTTTGTAAGTGTATGGATCTTTATGAAATTGTACTACAAGGTTCCATATCACAAAGGGAATACTGGGATTGATTTTTGGGGTAATTTCCTCCAAATTTTAGGAATTAGGGGCCAAAAAGGGGCAAAAAACAAGCATTTTTCTAGTTTCATGACAATAACTTGTTTGTAAGTGTATGGATCTTTATGAAATTGTACTACAAGGTTCCATATCACAAAGGGAAGGCTGGGATTGATTTTGGGGGTTTTCCCTCAAAATTTTAGTAATTAGGGGCCATAAAAGGGCAAAAAAAACATGCATTTTTCTAGTTTCAGGACAATAACTTGTGTGTAAGTGTATGGATCTTTATGAAATTGTACTGCAAGGTTCCATATCACAAAGGGAAAGCTGGAATTGAGTTTGGGGGTAATTGCCCTAAACGTTTAGGAATTTGGGGCCAAAAAGGGGCCAAAAAACAAGCATTTTTCTAGTTTCCAGACAATAACTTGTGTTCAAGTGTATGAATCTCTCTGAAATTGTACTGCAAGGTACCATACCTCAAAGGGAAAGCTGGGATTGAGTTTGGGGGTGATGAATCATAAGGGGGTTCAAAAAATTGGGGGGGATTTTTTTTTTCCTTTTTTTTCTTTAACATTTTCCATTTTAAATTGGTTATTTCTGATTTATATATAAAAGCAAATAATAATGATATGGTTTGAATAGGCATACATGTGAACCTCCCGACGGGAGTACAATAATCCCGTTTTCAGGGGTCTCCTCCCGACCTCCCGTTGAAGAGGAAAAAATCCCGTGTATGAAATTTTTCATGAATGAAAAATTTCTGACCAACATATCATCTCAGGCATCTGGTGTAACTGACATTACCTGAAGTTATATTTTACCTGTAAATCAATTAACATGCATAATTATATGGCTTCACTTGTCAGCTTGGGTGTCAAACATACTGGTAATCAACGATTTTTACCTCAGGCAAACTGCCGTTGTGTAATAAAAACTGTGTATTTATTGGGTTACTTCCCTTGATTTATCCTGTTTTAAGTTACTTTCCTTTTAATAATGAAAATTTTTAAAAGAATATAAATAAAATATAAATTGAACAAATAATCATAAAAGGATGGTTATTAAATGATTTTAAATGTCTTAGGACAAATAAAAAAATAATAATTTGAAAATTATTTGAGGATTCTATACTTCCTTTCAAGGCTTAAATTGAAATTTATATAATAACTATGACCCTAATTTTACAGATAGAATGATTTTCTGAGTTTTCAAATAAAAACTATTTGCAAGAGAAAAAATAAAAACTATTTGCAGATAGCTAAACAAATGTTCTGGTTGCAATGATTGTTTTATAGAATATGAAGTAAAAAATTTAAAGAACATACTGGAAAAAAACAATGTTAGATTGAACATGTAGAATATAAAGATGGAGAAACTTTATAAGTACGAGGGTACTATAAACATAATAAATTGGATGGAAAGTTGAAGAAAACACACTTTAAAAGACCATTTTTACAGCACACGGTTACATTTACAACAAAATTAATGTCGATTAAAAACCTCCTGATCTGAGTCCTAATCTCCTGACCAAAATTTCCCAATCTCCTGATCTGAGTTTCACAGTCCATCACATGTATGAATAGGTAAATTGAAAATTTTTAAGTTCTTAGACCACTTTCATTCTGTGTCAGAAACCTATGCTGTGTCAAATATTTAATTACAATCCAAATTCAGTGCTGTATCAAGCTTGAATGTTGTGTCCATACTTGCCCCAACTGTTCAGGGTTCGACCTCTGCGGTCGTATCAAGCTGCGCCCCAGCGGAGCATTTTATTTGACTATTTGTGGATCGCAGCTTAGGATGGCTTGCATTTGAAATAGCATTTAATGATTTATAGAAACAGCCATATTGTCAAAATGTCAGCAGGAAGTTCAAATTGAAGGGAGACAATTTTGGTGTGAAATGTACTTAGCCTGGCATCCTGACCCAATCTAATACTTCGTCGATAGGGCCAGGCGTAATACAATCCAAGTGACCAACTATCAGTGCTGAACAGGACTGAATTACTGCGCATGTGCGTATTTTATAATCAAGGAATATATCGATCGGATGGTTAATTAACTGTTGATTCACGATGTTAATCAACAACGCTTGGATTATATTTGTTAAAGTTTTCGAAATTTGTATATAAAATAAAAATAGTTTTCAATAAATTTGTGGCAATATTAATATTTCCCGCCATGTGTCAAGAAATGACGCTATCCCAAGATGCATCATTCTAACATCCAATTGACGGAACCATGTTGTTGTATTCGGC